TTCATTACTTCTTCCTTTAGTTTAAACTAATCTGCTTTTTGTCAACCTATTTATGTATTTTAAATTTTAGCAGTTCTGATGGGTTCTATTTCAAATGTCTGTCCTTTAAAAATAGGATAGTATTCCTTGCACATCATTTAAATTCCTTTTTAATTTAAAAAATTTTTAAGTATGTATCATTTATAGTCTCCGTTTGATAAACTCACTATTTGAAGTCCTGGGGTCAAATTCTGTTCTTTATTGTTCATCCTGACTCATCAATACTAGCTGGGTTTTTTTGTTTGTTTGTTTGTTTGTTTTTTGTGAGTTCTTTTTTTTTGAATTCTGAGTTCCTTTTAGCTGAGATCTGCCTATAGAAAGCCCAAAAATGCAGATCTGAGGTATTATTCCAGAAGAGTTATATTTTCTTCTGCTTGATTGCTGGGGCCAATTACAGTTTACTCTTAACCTTCCTAAATCACACACACAGTGTGAGCTGGAGCCCTGATCTCAACTGAGAGCTAGGTGTGGATTTTCAAGGGAGATGTTTTTTCTGTTGCAGATGCCAACCCTAGAGAGACAAGTATCCTTCTCATTTTCCTTTCCTGATGGTAGATTCCTTTTTTCTTCTCCAATCTATCAGTGATGGTAAAAGAGATCTTGTTCCAACTGTTTCTCTGATCTTCCTGAATCCTGCACCCTACACTGCTGGTCTCTTCATGCAACCAAAACCCAGAAGGCTAGGATCTGGATCAGGGCAGCCACTGCTTTGGACAATGAGAAAAATCAAAGGAATGATTTGAATAATAAATAAATAAAATATTCCAATCAATTATGGTTTACTCATACAAATTACCCAAGTTAAGGATGTGTGAGCGTGTGCACATACGTATAAATTAGGGACATATTTTGAATATGAATTTGTTCCTTTTTGTTGTATCAAGGATTACAATGATAATTTTGTGTTCAACTGTTAACACTCAAAAGATTCAGAGACTTAACAAAAACAACCATTGTTTTCAAGGTCAGATCAAATTGGAGACAATCACTCCTCATTTCATTTGGAAGACCCAGGTAACTTGTCTTGGTAAAGCTAGCACTAAAAATGCCTTTTTGTAGACAGGTAGTTAGAATAGTATACAGAACTCATTTTTGACTGTCGAAACCCAAATTATTTGCAGGCCATAGATATATACAACCTTGTAGGCTGACACCCCACTTAACTGTTAAATCACCTAAAAGATTATCTTGTCTTTCTTTTATGTGAATTCAGGAGCACAAAGCTGTTTAAAATTCCGTCCCTAGAGGAATTCGATTAGGAGTGTTATATTTCTTCGGCAGTCCTAGAAGGAGCCAACTCAATATTTTATCGTTGTATATTTTTAGAGCTCCTTTGGGTTGTTTTTCGAAAAGTTAGATTGAAACCTGGGAAACAGAATATGCACTGTGTCTATGGTGTGAATTTCACCGAGGTTGTACAAGTCAAATAGTTTTTTCCTCCCTGTCTGGTATCTAGGGGAGCCACTGTCTGCTAGTGTTGCAACATGCACATGTATAAGTGGTTAGTAGGTGATAACACACCAATAAATGGTGCTTTCGCCTATTGTCCTGCCTATTTAAATAGGCACAAAGAGATAGCGCTTTCACTTGTAAATTTTAGAGTATCCCAGAATGGCATAAGAATAAAAGAAAAAGAAGGATACATTGTACCATTAAAAATAGCCTACAGTCACAGTGCAACTCTGGGGAGAAGGAAGTGACTGAAGCCCAGCCCAGGTAATTTGGGGAGACTGCTGCGGGTAGGCAGTGGAGGCCGAACGCGTTCCGAATTATGAAATGGAAGAAAACAGTGGACAAAGGAAGACAATAGTAATAATTACTAGCACTAATTGGGTTCTTACTGTGCATCAGAACTGTACTGAGTATTCACTTAAAAGAACAGTTCCCCTTTTAAGAGAAGCCACACATCACGTGTGTAGCCAATGCCACTTTACCCGGAGAACAACTTTGAGAGTTAAGTCCTGGTATTTGCCCTGCTCTGCAAATGAGACGCTGACAGAGTTTCCTCAACTTGCCAAGATCATGTGAGTGTGCAAGTCAGACATGCAAGTCCCACGTCGCACACCGCTGAGACCCTGCTCCCAGCTACCTCTCCCCGTCTTCTCCGCTGGCCACTGACCTTCATCTCAGCCCCACCGGTGCGGGTCTCGTGTGCCCCATTTTAAAGATGGGGCAAATTAAAGTAAAATCGCAGTCACTTGCACAAGATTGCCCCTCACAATATCAAGATTAAAACTGGTTAATCTATTTCTAGACTTTCTAAAATTTCTACTATGTCATTCTGCCTCCGTGGCAGTATTTTTCACTTATTTATTTATTTGTTCAGTTATTTGACGAGTGTGTTTTGAGCACCTGTCACGGTGCTTTCTTCTGGGTGATGGGGATATAATTGTGAACAAGAAAAGTCAAAAATTCCAAAGGTTACATTCTAGTGGGGAGGGATGGGCCATAAGCAAATAAACCAAAGAGTGAAATGTTAGTAGGTGCAAGGAAGAAGAACAAAGCACCGTAAGGGGCTAGAAAGTGATGGGGGGATGGGTGCGTTTAAAGTTTTTAGGTAAGACAGTCAACGCAAGGGTGTGTGTAACTGCCAGTGGCCGCTCTATGATGCCATCATTTTCTGCCACAGATATCTTGACTTCTCAGTTTATATGACCTTGAAACTGAATCTGAGTTTTATGTTATTTTTCTGGTTCATGTTTGGCTAAAAACCTACCCTTTCCATGCAGAAATGATTTTTTGCTCTTTGTTTCCCCCCCACAATTTAACTTGAGTGACTATTCCAGGAGACAAAATTGTGTTCTTTGTCAGTACTTCTCCAAACTAGCTATGTTAATAGAGGGAAGGCTGTTCGGGCCTCACCAGAGAGTGTGCCAACAGTGAAGCGGGGGCCAGGCCCCGCCTGTCAGCCACCGTGATGTGGGGTGTGGCTGCTTAGAGGCAATCTCGCGATCAAAGCAGCAGCGATGTCAAGAACTAATTGGTACATATACACAATGGAATACTACACAGCAGAAAGAAAAAAAGAACTACTGAACTTTGTGACAGCATGGATGGAACTGGAGAGCATTGTGCTAAGCGAAGTAAGCCAGGGGGCGAAAGACAAATACCAGATGATCTCACCTGTAAGTGGAACCTAACCAACAATACAAAGGTGCAAGGAAAAGAAGACCAGCAACACTGAAAGGAAAAGAAACCAACAGAGACAAGAGGGAAGGAGGGAGGGGGGGGCGGGGAAAAGGAAGGGAAGGGGAAAGTCAAGGAACATATAGCAAGGACTCATGGACAAAACCAAAGGGGAAGAGCTGAGTAGGGAGGGAGGAAGGGGCAAGGGAAAGTGGTGGGGGGTAGGCAGAGACAAATGTATTTGAAAAAATAAAAAAAAAACTAATTGGGTAATTTTAATTGAACACTCATATTACAGAGCACATGATGGTGAGCTGTTTGCAGCTTGTTTTTGCTTTTCTTTAAAATGCTGAAACTCTCCATCCCAGTAGTAATTAAACACAAACAGCTGTCGTTAACTTACCGTTGGCTCCTAAAGGCAGCGGCATCGCTTCCTTGCATGAATGATTTACTAATTGAAAACAAAGTAAGTCGACGTGGAAGTTATCTTGAAAATTAAAAACCATCTTAGATAATGAACAGTTTCCATTTCTATAGCACCTTTTTATGTGTTCTTCTGAGCATATACGACTTGTTAACAAAAATCATCTGTGTGCAAAGCTCAGCTTCTGGGCTGAACTCTGGAGATCGGAGGTGACCAGCAAACCACTCATTCATTCATTTAATTACCCAGCCAGCATTTACTGAGAAGCCTCTTTAGACTGGTCCCTTTCCCGAAGGCTTTGGGGAATTAAAAAAAAAAAAAGGAAATAGTCTCTGCCTCCTAAAGAATTTGTTATAGAATTGGATAATATTTTATCTAATCCTGTCCCTTTCATTTAACTTACCTGGCCGTATCACAGTTAACAAATCTTGTGTTGTTGGATATTTAGGAAGAGATATCAAATATACATATAGTTATATATATAACTATTATATATAATATATGTAGTATATATTGTATATATAATACATGAAAAGCCTGTGTTGAATACCCCCATAATAAATATTTGCTCATACTTCTGATTATTTCTCTGGGCCTCTATCAGTAGAATAACAGGGTCAAAAGGGATGAACATTGTAGCCGAATTAATAAATTTTTAAAAAGTTAGGCCCAGCTGGCAAAACGGAAAGCTGGTTGCTCCGTTCTGCACCGCACCCCACCCGGGCCCGAGCCTGACCTCACTCGGGGTCCTTGATGGCCGTGAGGACGCTGCACGCTGCTCCGAGGTTGTATGGCTGCCCATTAAATCGTTTTCTGGTTGGTTAAACCTCCTCTCGTTTTCAGGAGTATTATGTGCAGTTAAATAGTGCTGATCAAAAATTTTCAACTGACATTAATAGTTTGTGTCTAACATGAGATCATCGAGGTTTTTTGTTTGTTTTTGCTTATAGAGCCTGAATTTTAGAGAATGAAGAGTCATGGAAAGTGTTGTCAGTTGGTTTGAGAAGTTTCTTGGACTAAAAAAATGAAGATTACCACTGACCAAGCGTTGAATATCGACTTAAAAGCAACTGTTAGGGGAAAAAGAATAGATTAGTGTTTTGTTAGGGCTTATTGAATTTCATAAAAATATATTTAGGATGTTGTGAATAAAATTAGGTAGCAAACCATGATATTTGGTGCTGGTGCACTCTAAGCACAAAATTCCTACCTACAGAAATGTAAAACAGCGTGGCTTGGGAGCAGACCCCCTAACCACACCTTGCTTCTCACGGGGGTCTTGGCGTCGCCTGGCGGTCAGCCCATAAGGGCCTGTGGCATCCCTACAACAGCATTTTGTCCTCACTTCACATGCCCAGCTGCTTGGCCTCTTTGCTCTTCTCACCTCCTTGGTTGTGCTCTTTCTTCCCAGAACCATCGGGCACAAAAACCGCTACGTCAAGGTGCCCCGCGGCCACATCTGGGTGGAAGGTGACCATCACGGACACAGCTTTGACAGCAACACTTTCGGGCCGGTAAGTCACCCCGTCGCCAGTATCATTGGGATCACAGGGAGGCACAAAAGTGTGTAAGATTGTTTGCTCAAGTGACCCAGCCAAGACTGACCGTGAACTTCACAGTGAAATAATTTACGTTTGAAAATCTCCTTGCAAGCGTCATAGGTAGGTCATTGAAGCCATCAAGGCGTGCCTGTCTGCCTGTCTGCCTGTCTCATAGAAAAGGACACAGGCACTTCCATAAAAGCATGGAAAGGGCCCTCCAGCAGACTGGCTGGCCCCCACGGGAGGGTAGTTTCCCCCCACAGACAGGCTTTGTACCTTCTGTCCGCGGTTACTGCCAACTGACGTGATGTGTAAAAGACCTATAGGCGTTAGTTTTCTACGTCATCCATTAGAAATGCACCTGTCGTGGAAATCACATGGGTAAGTAACATTTTGTCAGCATTTAATTTATAGCAGAAATGCAGACATTCCTTATGCCATGTGCATAGTACATAAAATACGTGACTAAACTGATATTTTATACATAGCTTTCCATTTTGAATATGTACAGAAATTCTCTACTTGTGAACCCTCACAATAAATCATTATATGAAGCAAAGAACCTTTTAGTTCATGGAAATTGCCCCTGATCTCCAGTTACCTACGTCTGTTTAAAAACGTGGATCTTCACCCATTAGACTTTCCTCAAGTGAGTCCTACCTATGCTCAATACTTACGTGTAAGTTAATGTTGAACACCTTCAGATGGATTTGCAGAAAAAAAGTATGTCCCCGTGGTTTTGTCTAAAACTGAATGTCGGCGGTGTCTGTATGACAGTCTCCTTTGCATTATGAGGGACAACGTTATTGTCACTAAGGTGCAGTCACTTTCACTCACCTTTGGCTAAAAGCACAATTACAGAGAGATGCAACTGCATCAGAATTACAGGTAAGTGGAAAAAACTTTAGAAGATCACTCCTACTTCCTTTTTCTAGTTGCAATGGTGATGAAAACACCTAAGGTCTTTTTCTTACTTTTGAGGAGTAATTATTACAAAAATACAATTTCGTTTTTTATAGGGTATACCAAAGATGGGATGAACAGATTAGAAATGTCGTGGGTCACCTGTAGCTTAGAAGTGAACAAATTCGATAACAACTTGAAAGTGAAAACAAATCACCTAAAAGCAGTTTTCTCTCTCTCATCCCTAAGATGGAACCTATTTCATGTGTCATGTTTTGGACCAAGTCAGCATTAAAATGGTGGTTAACATTGGTTTGGGTTTTCATTTGTAGTGCCTCCGAAACGGAGTCTTAAAACATGTTTTGCTGTCAGTTGCGGGGTGTGTGACTAAAGTTTGAGATTGGTTTGCTCTTTATTTATTAATGAATTAGCCAATGAAATATTATTTCTATAATCAGTATTACCCTTAGTGGGTCGCATTCCACCTGTGTCCCCGTTTGAGAGAGGAAAGGATGGGCTTCGGGCGCCCATGGCCTGCCGTGCGCCCCGTCCTTGGCACCCCCGACCCCTCCGGGTCTGTGCATGTCGCTTGGAACCATTGAGCTATGAGTTTACCTGGGAGAGTGTAGCAGGCGTGGGAATATCCTGTCATTTGCATCTTAAAAAGAGGGAGAGAGAGAGAAGGCGAGAATCATGTGTGAAGGATAATTTTATTGTGTTTATTACAATAAAAAACTATAATATGCTAAACATTGACAAATACATTGTGTGTAGCACTTGCCTTGCATTTGGTTTGTATCAAGTTTTTAAAGGAAATCTACTTTTTCATTATACCTTGAACCAGTAGTATAAGTCTGAGGCACAAAACTACTTACTCAAATATGTTTTAATATTTGAATATGTGTTTCTGATTTGGCATATTGACACTTTATGTAGGCCCTAGATGGGATTAAATAGTCTTATGAGTGAAAGGTGAATAATGGCAGAGGAATTTAAAATAGCAATATTAAGTTACAGTAATAGACTACATTGCAACAGAACAAGTCCCCACGCCTGTCCTTCTAACTTGTGTTGCTGTTGTGGAAAGAAACTAGCAGGTGCTCTTTAGATCGCAGGCGATATAACAACACGCAGAATCAGATAATCTTGGCTACAGAGCTCATCAATCACTCAATTTGTATGGCTTAGCCTTTCCTCATGTCTAAAAGAAATGTCTTCTCTTCTCTGAATCCATTTTAAATAAACAAATGAGCTTGTGTGTGTGTGAGAGAGAGAGAAGCTTGAAAGGAAATGTCTTAATTAAAAATACATCTTTATGAAACATCTTGGTCCTAAACCTCGCAAACATGTCTTCATCACACAACATTAAAAAAAAGTTGTGTGATGATAGAAAATGTCCTATCTTACTACAATATCAATTTTCTCATATATGACTTTAGCTTCGATTCTTAATATGAGAACTATCTCTTGTAAGTTTTCTTTAAAATGATGGTAATTGTCTGGAAGTGTTTTTCAGTGCATATAACTACTTGCATATACTGGATTATATGATGAAGATGCCTGATGATTCCCATGTGTAGGTTACCGATTGCTTGGAACATTGGCTGAGCTCTTCTCTTGGTAATTCTTGGCTCTGCGAGACAACTTCGGGCCCTTCCCTTCCCCGCCCCTACTCCCATATCGAGCACATTGAAACATTGTTCATTGTAGCTATGTCGTTGTTTTGCCAGCACCCAGAAGGAACTCATCAGAATAAATCTGGATGGATTTTCTGCTTGCTTGGTACACATGCATAGCTGTGAATAGTGATTTTTCAAATAGTGATTTTTAATTATTTCAAACTCGCAGACTCTGCTTCAGTTAAAAAGGTACGCCTTAGTTCCTTTCTTCCATTTATTGTAAATATTCATTCCAGTACTTATATTTGAAATGTTCTATTCAATTCATTCGGTTGGTAAAAACACAAATGTGATTCCTTCCATGGCCTCTGTTTAGGTCGGGTATTTTCTGTCTTTGATGTTCTATCATTTTTTACCTAGTTTTAGGTCACGAGCCCCTAAGATATACTTCCACTGTTTGTGGGATACCAATTTGTTGCCAGGAATATGTTATCATAGAAGCTCTAGTTATTTAGTATCTAAAATAAATAATTTATTTTAACTTCACTGAGCAAAGGACAATGGCGGGGGCGGGGGGCGGAAAGGGGGCCTTGGCCTTAAATATTTCACAGCAGAGATAAGCTTTGCAAGATGGATGAAGTGTTCGGGTTCTTAGGTCTGTGACCACCGTGTCACCTTGTGAGCAGTTTGTGTTCCGGGGCCGTGAAGCAGAGCTGAGCGAGCTGTGTGCAGAGACTAGGCCTGGAGATGCTGCTTCCTGAGACCAGAACCTCACGTTACACTCAGTAGGAATTCTGCTGAGTTCCAAGTCATTTGGGAAAGGTCTAATCATTTATTTTATGGGTACCTAATTCGATAAAATGTTAGCCTCCTGGAATGCTTTCTTGAAGCAGATATGCCTAATAGATGATAGTTTTCAAACACATGAGTCTTAGAAATGTGACCTAATTAACGGAGCCGATGGTCTGAAAGTGATGCTCTGTAAGAAAGCATTGAAATGAAGATTAAAATTCTGTAGTGTTTCTTTTGAACTTAATGAAATTCAAAGAGTTTTTACTTTAAAAAAAAAGCGTGAAAAAGTAAAGGATGGGAAACATAAAGTTTATGTTTTTCTACCATGCAAGGCTTTCCTTTATGTCTTCGAGATATTTTTTAGCATATGCTGGTTTCCCGTGTTGATTTTGGCCGGGATTCCGATGGGCAGACGGGACCAGGAGAGACAAGGCTGCATTCACGGGGAGAGGTTGCTAGATTAGGGAAGACGTGTGGGACATGAACATTTTGGGAGGTTTACCATCTAGTCATGCCTGTTTGAAAATTTTTCCCAACTTTATGCATTTTGGGTAAAAAATGAAATCACACAGTATGTGATTAACCAGGGCCGCAAAACAGTATTCTCAGGGATGCAAGTGAGTGAAAGAAAGAGGAAGAAACGGAAGTTTTGGTGTTGGTGAGACCTCACGGCAAAGCGCGGCGCTGCCGGGCGCTGGGAGACGGTCAGGGTTCGGGCCTGGTAAGAGCAGGGATTCCAGTCGCGGGGGACGAGCCGTCTCTGCACCGGGGAGCCCTCCCAGTCCTTCGCTCACCGCCAAGAGCCTGGGAGGCGCGAGGAAGAGGGTCAGGACCGCGGAACAGCCCCGCCTGTGAGGGAGGGGAGCCCGGAGCCAGGCAGGCGAGGCGTCCGACCGCGAGGACACACCACGCGTTCTCTGTGCGAGGCGACCAGGGGCCCTTTTAGGGGCAGACACTGTGGGCCAAAAACCCACAGGAGAAAACGATGCGGCCTCCTCGAAGGATTTGGTATTCTGAACAAAACAGTATTCTGAAATGGGTGGAAATAACAACGATTGGGTAGAATCTCATCCCGCATAAAACTCCCCAGAAGGCGCGTGCGGCGCGAGTGAGGCGGTCCCAGCCGGGGCGGGCGGAAGGGCTCGCGGCCCGGGCGGCGCGGTGCTGGCGCAAGGCGGTAATCGCGTGGACACGTGAGAAAGAACTGACATTTCCTTTGGTTTATTTTTGAAGTGTAGCATTTTCCTTGTGTAAATTCTCTCGAGCAGCTAGACTAACTTTTATTTAAAATCAGCCATTTTCAAATAAAGAAAAAGGTCATTAGATTGTGTTGACAGGACCCAAATAAAGTGTTCCATCTACACTTTCTTTGTAAAATGATGCTTAGACTTTAATTGGTCATATTTTCTTGTTTTCTTGTAGGACACACTCTTGTTCGTTAAAACATTCTCTTGGAAACTAAGGTAACCTCTATTTTACATACAGTGAATGGTAACAACAGTCTTATGGATCTTCAAATCACAGAACCTTACCTTGGTGTTTTTGGATCTTTCTCCGAGTTCTCTTAAACCATGCTGGAAACTAGCAACCTCACATATTTTATTTAGGTATAATTTTCTTTGGGTCGGTGTAGGCATGACAAAGTCATGTGCTTTATAA